ATTATTAACATTTAATATCTGTCGTCGCAGGTTTTTATTGCTCTCTAAATGGTACTCATAATGAAGCCCCTAAGCCTTCAATTGTATACTAATTATTTACTTTCTGTCATATTGGTAAATAACTCATATAATAATAGAATTCAAATTTCCAGTCAATGGAATCCAACAAGTCATAAATGGCTAAAAGAAAAATCAGGAGTTAACTATAAAAACAGAAAATGAGAAAAGGATGTTATACTAAATAGTAACACCAATATAGTAATGAGAACAGTAAATAAAACTTATAATCTAAGAAGTCAAATAAGAAAAAATTATAGAGTGACATAAAATTTGCATGATGTTCGGTTTCACCCTAGTTTCTATATATTTTTATATTTTATGTTGTATTTTATGTCTTACGATTTAACTTTAATTTTAGATTTGTGCAGTATCATTCCTTTTTAAACTGCTACTGACGAAGGTGCTTATTAGTACCGAAGCGTTTAGCAAAAAATAAAATAAACAACTTCGAAGGAAAATAAATAATTAGTAAACTACTCAACAATGCAACTTCGTACACAAATAATAACAGAAACCAAAACTAAGGTAATGATTTGGTTGAGTTTTGTCTAAAGAAAAAAATCCTTTTTGTTTTTCTTTTAGATTAATGTCTGTGAACTGTACATTCACCATCAATAGGTAAGAAATCAGTTGTTCGAAATGTTTTTAAGGGAAAAGAATTTTTTTATCATGATTTAGATCTATGTTAGTCAAATCAAGATTGTTCATCGATACGTAAGTGATGAGTTGTCGAAGACATTTTGAAGATAATATTTCTCTTTTTCTTCTTTCTGATTTATTTTCGTGAATTCAACAGTAATCATCGATAGGTAAGTAATGAGCTGTTCGAAATATTTCTAAGACAAAAAATTCTGTTTATGTAGCTATGTGAAAATATGTACTTTCTATTGCCATCGTACATAGGTGGATGAAGATCTATATGTGTAAGATCGTCCAAGTATAAATCGTGCAATCCAGCAAAAATAATTTGGGACTTAAAGGGTTAAAATGGCTTCGAAAATCGTTAGTTTTCCACTAAAACTGTTCAAATTTTCGTAAATGACATAATTTTGATTTGTACACATGTGCCGGTCAACTACGCTAATCGAAATTATATAACTTCAGTGTTTTGTAACTGCGGTTTTTAAGGTCTCTGGATATCTCAGCATCTACAACCAGCCTGAGAAATCTTTTTTGTTTTCATTAACGAAATTATCCCAGGCCGTTCAAAACGGCCAAGTTAACGGCGTGTTAACGTCCCATTAAGTCTACGTTAACGGGCCGTAAACGTACCGTTTTTACACCGTTATGCACCGTTTTTTCACCGTTAACTGGGACCGTATTACGGCCCGTTTTTACACCGTTTCTTGGCTGTTTTTTGGCCGTTTTTACGCCGTTTACAGACCGTTAACGTGCCGTTTGTGCGCCCTTTTTTTAGGGTAAACGTATCGTTTTTAAGCTGTTACTTATGAATTTTCAGCTTATTCCTTTAAGCCGGTTTTGCGTACTGAGACCGGTTGGTATTCTATAGAAGATTTTTAGCTCAGATGACTTGCGCTAACTTTATTCAATCAGAAAAAAGTTATTGAGAATTGTAACACAAACATAAAAAAATGCTATACACATGAAACAAGCATACCTACAATGTTGCACAAGGAGCAGTTTCTAACAGATTGAGACAGACCAGTCCGTGAAATATTTAGTGAAGTTTGATACGGAAATTTTATCTTCTTTCTATCAATAACATTTGATGCAAGTCGATCCTTTAAATCTACTTCCTCACAAAGATCAAGATAAGTCAATATTTGTATAGTCATATGGATTTTAACACATTTTTGTACCATGTTATAAAAAGTTAGCCAGTGTCCGTTAAGCGAATGGACATCGTTATTTCATAATAAATAAAATAACAAATTTTCAATAAGAAAAACTCCATCTCTAGACACGCAAGCAATGAGAAGGCAAATTTCTGACGCTGTGGTATTCACAATTACACTATCTCATTGAGCACTAAATTATATGAAAAATTGGAAACGGGTAAATTTTAAAACTATCTCAAAAACTCATTGTTAGATACCTTCACACGTAAGCTTTTGGAAAGCGAGTATTTTTCTCTTTCTTGCTTACTTCATCCTGCCTCTCAAACCGAATGCCAAATAAATTACGATGAAGTAAAGTCAGACATGTTTGTGAAAGCACGGTGATCTATACAGAACTAGCTGGGCTAAATTTTTTGTAAATCTCAATTCGTAAAACATTTTGCAACGCCATACTTTTACAAAAAATGCTGTATATAACGTTACGCTACTGACTTTGAGTATTTTGCAGATTATCATTATCAGCAGCATGTGTTTGTGATCGTATTACTACTGCATGTTGACCACTTGTCAACGCAGACGATCCTAAAATTTAAATGATAACTATTAAGATTATATATACAAAAGGATAAACGTCAAAAGACTCAGAATCACCAATCTCTTCAAATCGTGCTGTATCTCCATGTGGTAGATGTTCATCATCTTCATTTGCATTAGCAGTTTGATTGTTATTTCCGTCGTCATAGTCATTTGTCAAACTCTCCAATGCTTCACATGATCCTAGGCACGAAAGAAACACTTTTCACAAGAATTATTCAAACTCTATGCGCGCTGCGGGGGCACAAAAAAAGTAGGGTTGTGCATTGAAGTATTAAAAAATCGTAAGTTATTATATTCCAAATCTACGTGAGATGGTGAAAAGAATTACTAACTTCCAAGTCTCAGACACCTATAGTTTTCTCTAGTATGTTAGCAGAGAGAGATTGCTAAAAACCCACACGAGCTAACCGGAATAGCCACTTTAGATCGTAGAAAAAATGTCCTACTTTGACTTGGGTGACCTAACGCAGCTAATCGTCTTTCCGATTCTTGTACATGCCATAGCAGTACCTAGAAATACATACAAAATATATAACGCCACAAGCAAAAGCACGTTTGAACACACGTACCAGAAAACAAAACTCTACCATTATGTGCATTGTTTCCCACCCGAACGATTACTTCCTCACTATTTCTCGATCTTTTTAACGAAGATTTCGGAACTATTTCCATTTGGTGTAATTCGTCAAAAAAAACTAGAAAATGGTCCGGATCTACCGGATCAGACGGAGAAAAAACCTTCTTTGGAGCTTTGGTTCGTCTCGATGTAGTGGTAGTAGAATTTGTGGCCATTTTGCTAAAGTAAAAGCATGACAGTAAATGTCTAAGGACATTCTTAGTATAATATGTTGCGTGAACATCCTTTTAACTGTATAAGAATACCAGAAAGTGAGCTAAGATGTGAAGAACTTTGGATCATTTACACATTTGTAGATGTACTGCATCGAGCTGATTAAAAAAATTTGGTTCTTATTTTTTCTAGTGCCAATTTTAAGCGAAAAAAATCTAAAGAATTTTAATAGCTTAGAAGTTTACTACCAACGGTCAAATTTTGTAAACAATCCGTTAATCACTCTGGAATTTTACACACTGAGTTGCTGTAAACCTCATTCACCAAGCAATAAACATCAAAACTAAGAATAACTTAACCTTCCGTTCATATTACATTAAAAACGCCCGATGCAATTCAACGTTGATTCAAAGAAGTATTTATGTGCAACTTTACTCAAAAAATTCTGATTCTAACTAAAATGAATCAAGTTTTTTTTAAGAGATGCAAGAGATTGTAGTAAACATTCAAAATCAGTTCTCAGATACAAACGTGACTTACGAAAACACGGATCTTACATTTTATCAACCTGTTTTATTTTCACTTTTATTTTATTATATTAATATTAAAAATTTAATCATGTTCAGCTTTCGCTGCAGGAGTTACAATCAAATATTCATCATGGTTAAAAACAATACAATGACGTTTAATAAACTCTACTGGAACGATTAGTTTTTGAGCAGAAGGTTGATCTCTCAGAACGTAAAAGAAATAATCTAGTCCCTCTTTGGTTTCATTATAAAATACACTGCCACTTATAAATTTCGAAAAGACATGTTTTCTTTTATATTCTTCTATTACTGCATACATATTATTGTTTTGCTTAAAAAATAGAAGAATTTTGCCAAATTGCGGTGAATTAGAGTCTGTACAAAATAATACAAAGTAGCTGACAGACGTCTGTCGTTTATTGTAAATAGTAGAATGATACATTGTTCCGTCTATAAGATGACGTCGTGATACAGACAAGCACGATACCGTTTGGCAGGAACAATGTTCAGCATGATAATTTAAAATAAGTTGATCAAAATTATAATTTTTCAGAATATCTATAGGTTCGGTTTTACTGTGATTAATAACCTCCACGTTACTGTCCACATCATTAGATAAAAAGCAATCAATATTGTAATACAATATAAGCTGATCTGCAATGTTTGTCGATCCATGGTATGATGCACCAACACTTCCTAAAAAGTCTTCAAAGTTAAATGTGGAAAGGGAACTGATACTTCCGTGTCGGTGAAACTGGTCCGCAAAATGCAAATGTTGATGAAATGTCATTGATTGTCGATCAGGAAAATATTTGGCATTGTGTTTTAAATATACATTTAGTAAGTTTTTTGCTCGCAGTTCACGATCTTTACAATGAAAGTGAAATGGATCATCATGCAAATATCTAAGCAAAAGGCAGTAAATGAAATTGACACGAGAGAAAGTTTCTTCAACAGATTATTTTGTTAAAGAAGGCAGTGTTAATCTGGCGCCTTTACAAGATACCATGTAAGCAAAGCAACTAACTTTAGTGAGCAAAAAACTATTTTTCTAAATCCTCGGATTAACCACTCGCCTACAGAAACTAGAGATCCTCGCGACTATCTAAAACAGTTTCCTGAACTATATCGAGAATAAGCTTCTAAAAATTCTGTGGGAATTTGGTTAAAAATGTTAATTTCAACAAGGATTTCGATAACTGCTATTTTTAACGAAAAAAGTTTTAATTCATCAGGACTGTATTGGTCTCACTAAATGTATATTCTGAAAAAAGCTGATTTTTTTACAATCAAAAAACAAAAGTTTCAAACGTCAAGATAGCAGTGATCGAGAATTTTTTAAAAATACCGCAAGTTTTAAAGTTAAAAATCGGCAGAGAGCAGTCTAAAATTTTAATGCCGAAAAAGATTATTGACTAGCTGCTCGTTCTGTTCGAATCATATTTAAATTGATGCGATTCTCAAAAGTAAGCAAAGTTATTCGTTCCTTATCTTGGAGGCGCTAGTTTCTATTATCGCGAGATTAAACTAAAAAAAATGTTTTCTCGCACATCATAGTAAGCTGCATCATTAGTAGCCTATCCGATTAAAAAATAGGATCGTGCTCAATTACTCGACTTGCACCCTTACACTGACTTCTACAACAAAAATAGTAATGGTAACGTAGTTAATAATAAACATTAGAAAATTTATGGTGAGCAGGTGAAAATCCTACGTGAAACGTTCTATTGCGTCATCCATCTTCACTATACCTGAGCGCACACACCAGTAATGAAATATATGAAATAATTTCAATTTCAAAATATAATATAAAGCATGGTACAACTCCATAGAATAATAAATTACGCCATTCACTAGCCTTTACAAAAGCTAGATCAACTATACCACGCAATCTTCGATTAAAAGTATGTGGAAATTGTTGACTTTTCAATAATAAGTCTAATTCTTCTCGATCTTTTTTCGATAGTGTTAAAGTTAAATCTGACGTTATCGTTTTAAAATGACGTAACAACGAAGTATGGAGATAGTCAATACAGATGCGGTTAGGAAAATCATTTTCGAAAAGATCGGTAATTATTGTTGTCGGAAAATCAGGCGAGGATCGTAATTTTATATTTTGTTCATATGGAAATTGGACTCGTCGATTTATATAACTTCCAGGTATGCAGCAAAAAAAGCATGAATTATAGCCCGTATGACCTTTGAATGACAGAATATACGACAAAGCCGGCAAATCACCAATTATACTATGGTAGCGAACTAAATAAAGAATATTTATAAACACGCCATCATCCACCGGTACCACAAAATAAGATGGTCCATAGCAACATGGTCAAACAAATACAAAAAAGGAATGTTTTGTATTTACACGTGTGCAGAGCGCAAAGATATCTATTTTGTTTCGAACTAGTTTTTCGAGTTAGAAAACAAAATCAAAACTATTTGCGCTCGAAAAAGAACGACCATTTTTATGAAGCTAAGGGTGGACGAAGGCGTGACTTAAAAATACTTGAAAAACATTGAACCGTTATCCCATCACCAATTCGTTGTTTGATTACTAATCCATTTTCTTGGATTACCGTTAATTCTCGAACGATAAGATTCAGCCATTTATTGATATCTGGCTTCCCATAGCCCACAACTACCGATAGTAACAATGTATTCCGACGTCTATTACGGATATGAGGAGGTAGCTCGATTACTGTAGAGCTTAAGGCCCATAAACCCAGTTTTGAACTCTTGACTAATGGTAATCCATCTAAATGCAGCTGCAAGCTAATAAATGGACAGTCACCTTGTTCACGATGTTTCTTCAGTGCTTTTTGATAAATTTGACCTATAAAACGGTGAGAAAAAATTCTGTATCATCGAAATGTTCTTGCCTTATCCGGCTATTCAAAATTCCATATAATTTTTAAAATGCACTAAGCAGAAATGCAAAACAACTGAGAGTCAGTTTCTGATATTTTTAGGCACGGTCTGAAAATATCAGGAAATCTCACATATACCTAGACAATTGAGATAATCAAAAATAAAACATGTTGAAAGAAAGCCCAAAACATTCTGTTTCTAGGCCAACGGTTTATCTCCATGTTTAAGGTTGTAAATAGCCGAAAAATACGAAAACATCTGGCCAGAACTTTTTCTCACCCGTTACTATATCATCGTTTTTTTCAAGGAAGTCTTTTTTGTTAAAATTTTCCCTATAATTTTGAATTTCCTTCAAATTACGAATAACAATTCGTTCTAATTGTGCTTTTGCATTAGATGTGTATACGGAAAAACTTTGTGGATATAATGTACGATATTGTTTACATGAATGATTTGTACATAATCTAACTTTTGGGTCAATTTCGTGATAACAAATTGCACATAAAATTGTTTTGGAAAAATAATTAAATATACCTACATTATCTAATAATTTATCGAATGAATTAGGTAGATTATTTGGAAATGGCAGAACACGTGAAAATTCTTTTAAAATTTCATTCATTATACTTTTACTCAAACATGATTTTCTATTCATTCTTAATAAATTTTCGCACGTTTCACCTACAGTGGCGCGTGTATATTCATGAAGAGGACGGGTATCTTTGACATATAATTCGTTTGGTGTTTCTTCATTATCATCCAATATATAATCACTGGCGAGATTTATTTTATGTTGAAATAAATTATTAAAATTAATTTGTTCATCTTCATCGTCCTCATCTCTATTAGTGGCGGTTGTAGAAGCCAACAAATACTGTACGTCATCGTGGTAGCCGTCGTCACTGTCGTCCGTTAATAAACCTGAGCCACCCAATTCAAAATTATCTGTCATTTCGATATCATCACTCGTATGTGTCATGAAGGTGGTTGTTGTAAGCTGTTGTTGTTGCTGGAGTGGTTGAGAAATGAAAGTTGTGTTATGTTTTGCACCAAGTGTGGATGATGAATTATTACGTTTACCTCGACGGCGCTTTTCAATACGTTCTTCTAATCTCCTTTCATTATTATTACTAGCTATATCGGCAATAGCATTCCACATTGTGGATTACTACCTAAAAATCGTGATCTAATTGTAAAATTTCTGTGTGTGCGTATCCGTATGCAAATCCTGCTTAAGTCTTATAGACAGACAATGGCCATGGTTTTTAAAAAACAAATATCCAAGGATCAGTATCAACATGTGTTTTTTCTGAGATATATCTTGATCAAAGAGAAACGTAGCCCTATAAAAAAAATTCCAGTGCGGCACTGGTAAAAATCAGTGCAGCACTGCCAGTGCGCATGCCATGCCATCATCACTGGCACCCGTGCGCACCGGTGCCCAGCAAGTGCCGATTGGGACCCGACCGCACCGGTGTCGATATATTTCTGTCCAAAAAGTGCCACACTGATAAAAATCAGTGCCGCACTGAAATTTACTTAATCAGCTTAATTAGTTTTTTATTATGGTTGTTTCTACTGAATTTTGTATTAGAGTGCGACACTGATCAGTACCATATTGCGATGCCAAAACCATGCGGCATTACCTCGACACTTCTCTTATGAGAAGGAAAAGATGAAGTCAGAAAGACATTCGAAATATTAGAAGCATACTGTGGTGTTAATATAGACAGAAATTGACAAAACAAAATGGTGATTGAAAACAAAACTTCGGCACTGGTGCGAGATTTTTATATTCATTCTGGCACTGGTGCGAGATTTTTATATTCATTCTGGCACTGGTGCGCACCAGTGCCGATAAAATTTTTTTTATAGGGATTAAATAATTTTTTTTTATAGGGACTTATTAATAACACTTTTAATTAATAACAATTTGATAAAAGTTCATGACGCAGACAAAGTAATTTCAATTATAATTAGGAACTAATATACTCGTTCCAAAATTTTGCAAATAAAGTAACACGAATTCAAAAATTGTTTCAGCAATCATCATCGCTTATATACTTCGAAACGTTCTGTTATCATGTTGAATGACGAAGATTTTTTTTACAAGCATGCACACAGCGTTCGTCACTGGCCTTACGAAAAGCCTTATAAAGTTTCGAGAAAAATCCGCAAAACTTTTCTATTACCCGCTTCTTACTGAGTGTTATTCGTAAAAAATAAGATTTTACTACTAAGAATGTTTCTAACATCAGTTTTCCGAGGTCGTAGCGTTTAGCATTTCTTGAAGGGCTATGCAATTTCTTTCATAACACGACCTGTTTCCTTAGCAGCAACATCCGTTTCCAAAAAAGTCGGTGTATGCATTCTCTAATTCACGTTACAGCTACTTTGTTCGTTTCTGAATTTTCTTTAAAAAAACGGAAAGAAAAACCGTACGTACGGCAGAAAGAAAAATACACACCACAAGAAAAGCATGTATAATAGAAAGTTAAACTTACTTCAATTTTAAAGTGGAGAAGTTGATTTTAATAAAACTTTAAATAAGATTAGCCATATAATGACTTAATGACTACAAAATCTGAAATACGTGAAAATCTGAAAAAGAAAAAAAACAGACCAGAAAACAAACAAAAAAAGATATGAGGTTTGAGTATGGAAAGCTAGACAAGCTCTAACCATTTTAATCTGCAGCCTAGTTTTAACATTAGTGAAGCTTTTTTCCCAAGGACATGACTGTTTTGAATTTTTTGAGTAAGACTCTCATGGCGTAGAAACATTTCTTACTCATGCAAAGCGTATTTTTTTCGGAAGTCATGCACTTAATTTCTTGAGATCAAGCGCATTTTATTCATCTTGCAACAGGTCTAATATTTTTAAAAAAGAGAGAATGACCGTTGTATTAGACTAGAACCTTTGTGTTTATAAACACAAACGATTTCATTTTTTTAACATAGTGCAAAATTATGTGTTTTTGTTCTTTTTACAAAGGAATTATTCCAAAAAAATTAAATATTTTACAGAGTAAGTGCACAGCATTTCCGAGAGAGGGAGAGAGCGAATTTTAAAAGAGAAATACATCCTTCCAATTTTTCCTTAGTCACAGAGTTGAACTATATCCTTGTTTTGCCATATTACGGGTTCTCTTTACCTTTGTCAGATAATGCATAAAATCCAAGATATCTTCTTCTGTATAGATTCAGTTAAACGCAGTAACTGTGCAAGATCTCAAAACAAAAATGCACAAAAGTGAGAAAATGCATCCAAGATTCATGTCTTCACAAATGTCAGTATCCTCAGTGTAAGATCGCGTTGCCGTTAGTGACTTTCAGGATGTAGCAAAGATCAGTTCGGTCCTGTTTGACGCACAGAGGATTGGGGCTCAGCCATTCCGCCTCATTCACAGGATGCTAGAATGGTTCTAGCAACGAACTGGTCCGAGCGATAATATCCACGGGTATACACTCTCTGAAAGTTGCTCGATGCTTTACATACGGCAAACGTAACCTTATTGGTAACACTCACAAGTGAATGGACTAAAAGACATCGGTCTTTCTCACTTTTAATTTAAGATCATTTGCAATCATATACTCGAATCAGAATTGAGAAACACAGCGAAGTGGGACTTAGTTTACCTGAGCAAGAAATGTTTCTGAAAAGTTAACGCCACAGCTTATCGAAAATAAGATAGTTCAACAGTATGACTACGGACTAGGAAGTGTTCATGTACAGTAGAAGAACAGCGGGCCGAAATTGCTGTGTACTTTCTCTGACTCTGTATTAATATTGACTTTTTCTTTTCAGATAAAGGTTATGGCGTGATGGAAGCATCATCTGGTGAATGAAAAGATTAAAAGTTGATTTCACCATGTTCTCGAAGAAAAGGCCGAGTAAAACATGGTGGAATCAAGCGTAACGAGAAAAGCCTTCTACAAAGCTACAGATCGCTTCGGTATGAGTTTCTTCAAGTCCATGCTTGAGAAAAAAAACATCGCTAGGGCGCAGTTCGAAACAGTTTCTCTCTTTAAAAAAACTTTCTTTCTTATCGTTCCAATGCAATTTGTGCAGAAACGCGGCTCTCTGTGATTTAGAAAAACAAAACGGTTTGAAGCAATGTTCGTAGATAAAAACCGCTTGGACAACTTCTGGCGGTTTTTCTGTAGAAACTTCGCGCATGGACTCTTGAGTCAAGCGCAGAAGTTTCTTGAGGTATGCACATTGTTTTACATGTTTCTTCTCGTATGGCATCTCATATGCTTCAGAAAAAAGACAAAAAACGTTCACTAGGGAACCTTTTTGGCAGAAATTGATTACAGTCAGTGCAAGCCAATTTCTTCCCAACTCAAAATTATTCTGTTTTCTTTTTTCCGATTATTTGTTTGTTTGTTTATTTCTCCAACGGATGCTATTTTTAGCACAACTTAATTGCAATCTTTTTACTTTAGTTTTGATTTTGAAGGTTATATTTATTTTTCCGATAAAAATAAGACTTAAGAGAGCCTCCGTGATAGCGTCGAGAAGGCTATAAAAAGACGATAAAACCTTCGAAAAATGAATATTTCTTAGAATATCCTACCTATTCGTAAGGACCTAGCATGCTTTACCTATTGATAATGAAACATGTCTTTATATAAATGAAAATCATGTTGGAACAATTGTCATGAATCTACTACTTCGAATGATACTCATAGTTGAATATTTTTCGCCCTGTTGCAAAGGTTGTATTTCAATGTACTATAGTGCATTTTGTAGAAGATTTCATTCTCTATATAGGATGTGCTAAAAATTGCTCTAGGCCAATGGAATTTGTGGTCATAACAATCGTTTTATTGGAAAAATTAGCTTCTTTTTTTTTAAGGGTACTTGGTTTAACTTTTTTCGGCAACGAAAAATTTATTTAAAACTTGAACAATATCAGGTTTTGTTGAGTGTTTTGAGCTCGTTCCAATGCTGTATAATTTAAGACAATGAAATGCATGATAGTATCGCTAAAATTAAAAGAACAAGAAATACGCAATTCTTCAGCTTTAGAAGAAAATTTATTGGAACTTTTTTCAAAAGGATTTCTTTCTCAACAAGCAAAAGTTTCCCAAGGCTAAAAGCTTGGATTTGTAGGTAACTTTGGATGGAGAATCTGAAAATTATATTTAAAAGAATATTCATTTTTCGCAGGTTTGATCGATACAATTACTCTTGAGTACGCGTTCAGCATTTTCATCACACTTGAAATTCTTTAAGCATGTTTTTATTCCTTTAATTAGTTTTAGTTCAAAACGGTGTAAAAACGGTACGTTTATGGTGACCGTTTAAGTGCCGTTATTAGACCGTTTTCATAACGTACCTTACGTTTTTAAACCGTAAATTAACGGTGTAAAAACGGTACATTAACGCTGATCGTAAACGGCGTGTTTTTATACCGTTTTTACACCGTTAACGGGCCGTTTTTACGATGACCGTTAATGGGCCGTTTACACGCCGTTAACGGACCGTTCTGTTTGGCCTGGGTAGACTACAAAACCATGTCATTTAGGAAAGTTTCAGCAGTTTTAGTGGAAAACTGACGATTTTGGAAGCCATTTTAAGCGGCTGCGTGGATATTTCTGCCATACTTAAAAAATAGTTAGCACAAAGTTAACTAACTGATAGTTACCGTTATTTCAACGGTAACTGGAAACACAGTTATCGTTAAGGGAGGGTAACTGTCTTTTCAGTTACCGTTGTCGATAACGGCCGAAGAAGTAACCAGAACTTTTACAGTTCTATAGAGGATAATCTAGGCTACCTTCTGATTTAGGGAGACTAGAATACCTCAGAGTTTCAAGTGGTGTATCTCATCGGTCCTTATTAAGAACGTCGGGCTTTCAGAGAAAAATTTTTGAAAAACAAATGTTGCCACGAGATTCAGCATAGTCGGTAACCTATGTTCTCATTCATGTCTGACAGACCCAAACCTAACGCCAGAGGAGTCCTAGCTTCCGAACCATGCATTTCTAGATGTGACTTGGATCTGGTTTTGTAGAAGATACCCAGGTCTATTCATATATTTAAAAAAACTGATAGACTTGTATATGAAATCTCTAGTTTTCCATTAATCCTCTAACGCGTCCAGACATTTTTCCGAAAGGCACTTTTGCGTATGAAAATATGAGGTCAACT